GAGTATACGAAGGAGGTCATCTTCATCGTCATACCATATAAGCTGTTGTAAACTAGAAAGTCCGTGACGTGCACCAAAAAATGAATTGGCAGTGATGTGCACATTCAATTGACGTTTTTCCACTAAATTGCATGAGAACAAGAATATTAGAATATATCACAGATATATACGAAATATATAATTATTTACTTACAACTTGTGTGAAGCTGATAGCTCTCATCGGTTTCAAAATTTAAATTAATATCTGGAAATTTACGTATAGATACGTTTATCTTTAGGTCATCAATATCACAGTGTTTTCGTAAGTTAAACGCATTTGAGAGAATAGCGGCAGTGGCTATATTTTCAGCTTTTTTCTTCATTAGAACTCTGTCCATGTCGATTTGATGCCGCCTATGTCGCTGTGCAACAACGTTAGGATCATCATCGCTTGTTGTTGTGTCGGAATCTTGATATTCCAGTCTCTGAATATGTCGTAAGTCTTTTAAAAATAATGCAAACACTTCTCTGAAGAGATTTTGCACACCAACAAATGGCGTGTCCAGATGCAGTCTTACAACCTCAACTGAGAATTTTAATGATTTTGAACTAATTCCAGTTTTAATTGTTGGATGTGGCCATATGTTAATATCGCTACAAGTCATTGCACATGTTGTAAATGGAACACGCTTTTCTCCATTTCCAACTGTGAAGTAATGGTAACGCACACATCTGTCCCCTTCACATTTGTATGTCCACATTTTTTCTGTTGGTCTAAATGTAGGTAAAAAGAAAATAATATTATTGTATTATAACCGAAGAATTCATTATTATTAAAAATAATATTATGAAGAGAAAAAACAAAGAACCACAATGGAATTAAAAACTTGTATATAAAATAATATTACATTGAACCAGAAGTTCAAACATTCTTCATTGCGTGTTTCATACAAATAATATGAGGTACCGAATGTCAATAATATGGAGGCAATAATAATAAATATGATTAAACTGGCATTGGATATGTTATATGGCAAAGAAAAGAGTTTAAGTAATATTAAAATTTATACATGTTCTACTGGAAATTATTAGTCTGTACCGAATTTAGTGTCTAAGACCTTAGATCATAGTCTATATATTTAGATAATAAAATGAGAAATATGTAACAACTCAAATTGGTTATAGTCCGAGGAGTAAAGAAATGAATTCATTTATTTAAGTATTAGAGTATACAAAATTCTTAGTTATAAAGTAATGAAATAATGAAGAAGTAATGATTACATACAGAACTCGTTAACATTTTACTACTAAATATGCGCCATTACCAGCAATTAATGCTAACACATGTGCAATGCTGAAATTAAAATTAATACTCAACATAACACTCATTAAGTAGGGGTGAGCCATAGTGTAGATATTAATCAGTTTTATGTGTAATAGAATAAAAAAGTGAATGAAGAAATTTTAGCAGATTATTCTAGTAAGGAAACTTTGACAGACAAACTGAAAAAAGTCTCTTGAAGTTATTGTAGTTTTTCTGAAGCGTTTGGGAACTCGTGATAAAAATTTGATCACTTATGACAACGTCAAGCAAAAACGTTCGTGATCGAATCGCGATGAGTCGGTAGCAACGGTGGCCAAGTCATGATTGACGGACAGAGAGGCCAAATTTGGACAATATTAAAGGAATTGTGTTCAATTAGGATAACGCCAGGCTACATACATTGATTATGACTCGCCAAATTTCGGGAGCTTGGTTGGGAAGTTCTTATGAATTCACCTTATAATTCCAACCTGACACCAAGTGATTACTATCTGTTCGTGCCCCTGCCCATAGACGATTTTTCTGATGAAAAATACGCTTCAAGCAGGCTTGTAAAAATCGACACTCTCAATTTTTTGTCAACAGGGACGACGATTTATATTAGAGAGGAATAATGAAATTACCTTCAAAATGACAACAAGTTATGGAACAAAGCAGCGCATATTTGAACTAAATCAGATTATTTTAACCATAGTAAATAAGCCTTCAATATATGCAAAAATAATGGATTTCTTTTTACTAAACCTATAATTATATTTCGAATAGAAGTTATTGATAATACAAAAATTAAAATTTAGTTTTATTTTTAATTATTTAGTTTTTTAAGTCCAATACTTACAAAGGAAATTCATGAAAGTCAACATGAGTTCTCATTGATTTCTCTAAGATGTTTGAAAAAGTTTGCGGTTTTATAACGTCTTGGTTCCAATATAAAACCATAAGTATAAAAACAGTTACTGACAGTAGCATTAGAAGAGCACGCCGTAAGGAGACGGCTAAGGCCATTTTGAGCATGTAACGTAACCTATAAAAAGAACAGAAATATATTAACATTATATTACTTATATCAAAAATAATTTATACAAAATATTGTTTTATTATTGTATAATAATTTAATTTTATTGTATAAATAAATCAAGTTTTATTTTTGTTTTTGAGCATATATTACGGTTCAAGCCATAGGAAAGTAAATCAAGCAAAAAATAATTATATTTATAGATAAAGAATGTTTATGTTTATGTAACTTTGCCGAATCCCCAGGACTATTTATAAGTAGTACATCTTTTCAGCACAAGCGTAGACATAAGCAAACCTGGAGAATACCAGGAAAAAATGATACCAATCAAATTGATCACATATTAGTAGATAAGAGAAATATGTCTTCAGTTATTGACGCACGATCTTACCGGGGTGCAAAATGTGACTCAGATCACTATATGGTTGTTGCGTGTATTCGTCAAAGGATATTAGCTAAAATCGCAAAAAATACAATAAGAAACATTGGAACGTCGAGGCCACCATAACAAACGAATCTGCAAGAGCCGCTTACCAAGAAAAAATTGAGAACAAACTAGAAGAAAATAAAGAAACGATAAGAGAATCAGACGAAACAGTAAGCTAACAGGGCATTAAACCGACCGTAAATAGCGCAGCAAACAAAACTATTGGCCAAAAAACTCACTCCACCAATGAATGGTTTGATTCAGAATGCAGAGAGATTATCAAAGCAAAAAACGATGCTAGAAAAATATACATTAAAAATGGCACCCGACAGAATTTGCTTAAATATCAAGAAAAAAGAAAAGAAGCTAAAAAAGAATACGAAAAAAGATTTTCTTAGAAAAGAACTAGAAAGCATTGAACAAAATTTTCAAACAATTCAAACAAGATCAATGTGCCGCAGAATATGAAAACAATTGCGCATATTCCAACCGCACTTGACAGCTTGTAAAAATAAAATGGTGAATTGATCAGTGATAGAAAAGAAGTTTTAAATATTTGGAAACACCATTTCAGCGATCTGTTGAATAGCAATGAAGTCGAAGCCCCTAGTGATACCGTATGGACAGTAGAAAATATGCTAGAGGAACCTATATTTGGGTACACAGAACGAGCAATAGAGAAGTTAAAAAACTTTAAATCGTGGGGAGAAGATTTTATAAATGCTGAACTGATCAAATACGCCGGAGAAGAGCTTCACAAGCTGATACATGAATTAATACTTTAAATAGTTCCTATAAAAAAGGCGACAAAACGAGCTGTGCTAACTACAGAGGTATATCTCTTCTTAATGTTTCCTATAAAATATTTTCGATTATCAATGTGGTTATAGAACCGGTCGCTCAACAACAGACCAATGTTTCGTTGTCACAGATTTTCGAGAAATGTTTGGAGTTCAACATTAACATACATTGTTTATTTATAAACTTTAAACAAGCCTTCGATAAGTTCAACAGAAAATACATTCTTTATCGACGCACCTGTTCAATCTGGCTCTACATGTAGCTATCAACGAAATAGATCAAGTAGAACAAGCTACAAAGCAAACAGGTCTTAGAATAAACGAAGAAAAAACTAAATACATGACATTTCCACAAGATAGCCACATCAGAATAGGCAGTTACAATTTCGAGTCTATAAACGAGTTTAAATATCTGGGCGTAGTTCTCAGCACAAGTAAAGTTGCGACCCTTGCAATATAAGATCGTATTCAAACAGCTAACAGCATAGTTTGCCCATATTTTGCTTATGAAATCAACGTTACTATCAAAGAAACAAAAGTTGTGCATATATAAAACTGTCATTAAACCAGTTCTTACCAACTGCTACGAAACATGGGTCCTTAAATCTACCAACAACAACCTGCTACTGAGATTCGAAAGAAAAGTACTCAGGAAAATATTTGGCCCGATGTGCTTAGAAGACGGTACATATACGGTATAACGACGAATTGAATGTCTTGAACGAAGGTGAAACTATAACACGATACATAAAAGCTCAAAGGTTGCGCTGATATGGACACGTCCTACGAATGAGTAACAAAAGAATGACTAAGAAAATTTTCGAGACAAAGCCAGTGGGGAGTAGAAAAAGAGGAAGACCGCGATGAAGACGGTTACAAGATGTAGAAGACAACATACGAACGATGAGAATAACACAATACAGAAAGAAAGCGAAATGCAGAGAAGAATGGAGGCGAATTGTAGAGAAGACAATGGTACATCATGGACTGTGATGCCAAAATGAATGAATAGACAAAGAATTTCATAATTCTGTATGCAAAATTATGTACTAACAATAATATGGTCTGAAATATGGGGCTATACCAGATTAAAGAATTTATTAGTTTCTCAATAATAGTTTAAAGACAACCAAATATAATATATATAGAACCATTTAGTGCAAAGTGTAAACCTATCTATCTTTTAGAATATTTTGGAATAAATATTTTGTAGGCATATAAGATAACATAACTTAAGAACTGAAAAGATTTCTCAATACTGGTATGATATAAACAGTGTATTAATTGTTTTTCGTCTTTCGGGTATAAAATTACATAGTTTGTGGTGTGACATTTTTTAAAAAAAACTTTTAAAGGATATATAAAAAATATTTACCTCATATTGTTGTTTGAAAAGCAAAAAAAAAAAATGCTCAATAATTATCTACTTAATTTTAATTAAATAAATTAAATATTGACAATTTAGACATTATTTATATGAAATTCAAATAGCTGGAGATTATTTTGATTTACTCTCTAGATATAATCCTTCTTTTTTTCCGACTGGTGCTGATTATGGATAGAATGAACTTGAGATTTAAGAAATATGGACAAAAAAATATTGTTTGTTTTTAGATGGAAATTTTCCTTCTTATTAACCCATGAAGATTTCTAGTTTAATGTATATGTTGATTTTAATTTTTATCATATAATTCTTATGACTTTGCATCTCAGATTAATTGAGTTATTAAAACAAGTTAAAAATTTTAATTGATTTAAATTTTATCCATATGTTAGATAGTAGTCGTAACCACATACACCTATTTTTATTCTTAATAAGTACCTTTATTAGAAATGTAGAAGAGAAAATTTTTATAATATTTTTGCTTAAGTAGAAGCTAAGTCTTCAATGGAATCATGCGATTTCGAATTTTAGGACAAAAATTTAAAGTCTCTTATCAAAAATGATAAAATATTAACATATTTAACGACGCTGGATTTAAGCACTTTTTTAGCTCAAAAGTTGAATCTATTTAGTTGACAAAAAACGAATATATGATGATACCATTGAACTCACATTGAATATGGATTTTAATATTATGTCAACATTTTATATTAATTTGATAATTTAATATATTTTGGATTAAGCGTTGTTTTTCTTAATAGTTTCTTGGGCCAAAACAATTTTCTATTATTTATTTACAATACTTTTAAACCACAAATTACTAAATAACAGCACATCAAAACGTAGATAGATGCATAAAAAAAATAGAAAATAAAACACAAAAAAGTGAGAGCTAACAGCACTAAAAATTGTGGAAAAAATTTTAAAAGAATAATTATATAAAAAATTATATGGATATAAAAGTTTATATCTATAAAAAATTATATCTATACAAACACACATTTTCAAATTAAAAATACTGAACACAGTTAGTTATAAATGTAGATTTATTATAAAAATTTTTTTAGAAATGATGTAGATATCAAATTAATTTAACAACTCTAGTTAATGTTTTTTATCTCATGTGGAACCCAAAAAAGGTCCTTTCAAACAATACGAAAATTATTGCTTTAAAGTAAAGAAAAAGTTTTTTTTTATATTTGATAATAAATTTTTCTTATCTGATATAATGAACATGGAATTAACTTAAATGACATGTTTGCATACTGATTTAATGAAGTTTGAAAAAGTATTTTAACCCAAGTTCACTTTCTGACAATAGTGAAAATTTAATGAGTAGGTAAACAAACCCAGCAGGGTGTGTTGGTAGGTAGCATTGACTAATTGCAGAGCGGCTACACGAAGGTTAACAAACATAAACTTAGTCCTTTCGTTTTGTTTGAAATTTCCTTCCGAGCTTACTTTTAAATCAACCTTTTTTAGCGTTCATCTGTACTGAACTCATAAAATCGATTAATTCTGATAGAATCAAATTATCGTTAAAATTTTGTCGAGACTACAGTTTGCGTAGGGTTTGAACTTTTGGGAAAGGTGGCACTGGCCCGGTTAGTATTCTCAGGCAGGCAATATGGTGTTAATGTTTAAAGTTTTAAGGAAAGTAAGAAATAGTTTTCATGTTAAACTTATTTTAGTCTATGTGCGTCATCAGCGCAGTTTTAATTTATTTTTAATTTAGTTTGGTGCAAAAATGGTACCGATAAACTATTTTTAATTAGTAATAAATCAAATTTAACATGCATTTACTTACTACTAAGATTTAATTAAAGAAATTTAAATGTTTGAATTGAATATTCTTGAAAACTTCTTTGATATGATTTATATGGTACATAAAAATATTTTATTATTACAATTGTTCAGTTCAGTTATTAATTATATTGTTCAGTTCATTATTATGTTGCTATATCGAAACAATATTTTTTTTTTACTATTTTTATATATTAAGTATAAATTGATAAAGATATATAAATTAATATTATTGTCATTACCGTAATATACGCAAACCCGGATACACCAAAAAAATATATTATCTAAAAGCAAAGTTGTTCATGTTTAACATGCGTACTATTATTGTTCATTCTAAATTTCTGTCATTGTAGTGTATACCATCTATCAGTCAGCTACTACAACTAAATCGGAATATCTACTCAGTACTATCCGACACATACAAGGTTAGTGATCAAGGCTATGTACAATAGATCTATAAGGTTCACAGAACTTTCGATGTAAAAGTTCGATGCTGAAAAGTCACTGTGTTTATGGAATGAGACTTGCTCCATCTCGTAATGACTTTTATTATAATTGCGGCTCCGCAGAGGAAAAAGAAAATGTGTTTCATATAGTGTGTCAGTAACCATGCATGTACAATAAAAGTTTTAAAATCTTTTAAAATAACAAATTTTATGATGAGAATATCTATGTGTTCTCTTTAACTACTCTTTACACTTATTTTGGTGGTTCATCCCATACCAGCATAGTAATCAACGTATTATCCGTAGTATCACAGAAAACAATTATTTGAGATCAAGTGTGAATGAATGACCAAGGCAATCACTTCAACCTAACCTCAACTAGCATTACACATTTCCTTATAATACGAGTAGCTTAAATTTTTTAAAACCTTAAAAAGGATTACCATAAACTTTTTTTAGGAGTTATCGATACTATTCAAGCGGAAAGAACGTAAAATACGAAAAAATTTTTTTAATATTTTTGATTTAAATATTTCTATTCTATAAAATGAAAATAATTAAGTATACAGAATGATTGTGAGCCTCCCGGATTCACTGACTTCGTCACATCGTGAGAGATCCTTCTATATCAACGAAGAAAATTCAAGCGTTTGGCTTTTAATATATATGTTATCAATAAGTAGTCATAGAAGGTTTCAAGTATTTTTTATTGAATACTTTTGATACACTTTTAATACTGACAACAATTTAAAAAACCAACTTTTAAATGTTTTTTTATTAAGTTCGTCAACTAATCATTTGCTCTGCCAAATGTAACTGAGGCTCTAATTCTTTACCAGAAAAATAAGTAAATCACTCTACGCTAAAATATTGGTAATAAAATTGATAATTGATAATTCTTCCTTATGTTTGTTGGATTTCTTCTCACTATACATGGTGTATGTTAAGATTACACCTTATAGTTCTTATTTACTTTATTTTAACATACTTAAAGTTTACAGCATATAATTGAACTTAATATGTTTGATAATAAAAGTATTTACCGTCTTTATTTTAGAGATATATTTACCCAGCAATTTATTTTGTAATTTACTCTCGTTGCCGTAAGCTCTTTAATTGTTACTTTTAAACCTATTTGAACCTATCTCAAAGTTTTCATTGACATATTTTCCATTCAGCCCATGAACAATTCTGCGATTTAAATGGAGTTTCATTATATACCTAAATGGAGTATAATGCGTATTTCAATTGGTTACTTTTATTAAATATATTATTTATTTGAAAAGTTTTTTATAGCTTAAATGTAGGAGTCTTAGAAATTAGATACAGTTTATAATAACATCTTCAGCGTTAATGGAGTTGGTATTTGATGAGTCCATATTTCATCTAAATTTCTTTACTTAATAAGTTATTAATTCAAAGCAAAACTTAACGTGAGTCAACTATTCAATCGTATTATTTAATTTAATTAAAATATGTCAAAATCATATAATTAAAATATAACTAAATCAAACTTAAATCAAAAGCCTTTAATATTGTTACACAATAAGGATAGAAATTTAAAACTACACAAATCCAAAAAGGTCTTATTTATTACCAATATCTTTTATATTTTCTCTTTTATCTTTTTAATAATTTATTTAAAATATATTACGATAATTATATATGCTTTTACTATAAGTAATATTTAAAATAATTTATTAATAAATAAAAAATGTTTAAAAATAAATAAATATTATTCACATTACTAAAATAAGCTAAAAAAGAGCAGACTTTAAAGTTTTTCATATATTTAAAGCTAAAATATCTAATTTTAAAGTTTTTGAATTTTATAGCGTCTAAAGAAAAAATTTATTTTGAAATAAAAATAAAATAAAATTTAAAAATATTTTGTACTGCTAAAGTGCATAGAACTTTTCACATCAAAATATACTTGAAAAAAAGGCCTTAGTAAAAATAATGCATTCGCTGTATTTTGTACCCGGAAGGAAAACAAACTATAGCAGCAACCCTTACATCGTTGTAATTTCCTTTTCAATACAACAAAAGGTAATGCAGTCTAAAAAATGTTCGGTCATAATATACAAGAAATCCTCTACATTCACAATAATAAATAATTTTATTATTATAATTTTATAAATAATTTTTATTTTAGAATCGTAAAGGCTTCATATAGGTAGAAGAAAGTAATATTTCGAGTGGGTTTTAAATTAAGAATAGTATTAGTAAATGGCCAAATTAAAACGATAGATTTTGATTAACGAAAAATGAAGATATGCAATAAATTCTTAGAATCAATGTGTTATCAATGTATTTAGAAAATAAAATATATTTTCAACAATTGAGATTAAATTGAGAAATATGTGCAATCTCTACTTGTAAGATACAAAAATGGTTCTATAGAAAGAATTAATTTAGTTATAAAATTTCACAATCACATCGTACGCTTTATTTCCCTAAATTTTAATATGTGATATAATTTTAAACATATTCTGTTCCATATAATGAAAATAGAAAAAATATTTAGCAGTGAAAAGAAACGGAAACGAGTAAATCAACAAAATCAAAGAAATGTCAATAAAATCTTTTGATTTTTTTAGTATTGCCATCAATTTTTATTTAAATCGTTATAACTTTTTTTACTGAAAACAAAAAAAAAAAATGTAAGAACAGAGTAGAACAGTAGGAATTCCTAATACTGAATATAAATCTGTCACGGGCAGTATAAATGTAAAAAAATAGTAGTA